GCCTACTCAGCCCCCTCACACGCACAACCCTTCAGGCCTACTCATACTTCAACCCTACTCTGTGCGGGGCCTCCCAATGTTCTCCACACTACCCAACTCTGGGGTCTCCAGGACCTCATATCCCTGCTGGGCTCAGTTGCCTAAACATGGGCATACCTGGCCCCCACTACTCCCATAACTCTACACTACCCCATCTGGGGTCTCCGGGATCTCTCATCCCTACTGGGCTCAGGCGCCTACATGTGAACATACCTGGCCCCACTATTCCCACAGCTGCCTCCAAAAACCCACCCAAAGATGGGGGCTGGGGTTAAAGCGCCCTTCCTCGCCTTTCACTGGGGACGTAACTGGCCTGGCATTTCCTGGGGACTCCCCCACCACCAGGAGCCTCACCAGGCCACCCTTCCCCAGCAGGATGCAGTTTTAGGCCACACCCAGGACCAAGAGCCTCCAGCTCCTACCTGCAAGATTTTCCATGCAACAGTTCAGCCAGGCAATATTTCTGGCTGGCTTGCCAACAGCAAACTGCCCTGTTTATTATATAGGCAGCCACTGTTTTAAAACTGGCTGCTGCAATCAAGCACCTGCTGACTGCTTGACTCAACCCTTAAAGTGGCAAGCACTACTAGGGCCCTGCCACAGCGGACAACTGTTTTGGCTGGAGAGCTGCTTACTGAGTTTTGGCAAGGTATCGAGGGCCACATGGGTAGCCCCACCTCTTGACAGGTGCCCTGCCCCCTGGTTCCCATCTTGTGACCAGAAGTCCTGCCCCCTAACCCTTGCCCTTTGCCACCAGAAGTCCCTCCTCTTGCCCCCGGAAGTACTTCTTTCAGCAATGAGTTCTGCCATCCCAAACCAGAAAAATACCAAATGATAGTCTAAAATTTAAACATCTACAGCATTCATTAATTTGATTTCAAAAAATATTTTTGTCCTGATTTATGTGTGTTTGTATAGTGTACATAGAGGTGATCGCACAATAGCTTAAAATGAAGTCTCACTCTTGTATATTGTCAGGGGGGCATGGGGGCTTGGGTATAGGTTTATGGGGAACTGTGGGTATGTGAGTATGTGGAGTATGGGGGGAGGGTGTGGGTGTGTCTGTGGGGGTTTGTGGGGGGATGGATAAGTGTGGCGTGAGGGAGCATGTCGGTGTGTGTGGATATAGGGTGTGTGGGTGGGTATGTGGTTTGTGAGGGAAAGGGTAGCTGGGATGTGTGAGGGGGTATGGTTGTCTGCGTATATGGCAGTGCAGGGGGGTGTGGGTGTTCGTGTATGGTGAGGTGCGTGTTTGGGACTCACCCTACAAACTCACTCTCTCTCTCGCCCTCCCTCATTGCATGGACATGCATGCACGCACACACATACACACACCCCCCCCTCCTGCTCTTGGCCCTGGGGTACCGACACAGGCCCCATGCTCCCACGGCCTGGTGATGAAGTCAGGAGGCACGTGGTGCTGGAGTGGCAGGCGGGCAGGAAAGCAGGGAAATGGCAGCTACAGGCAGGGCAAGTGACAATGAGCAGGAGTGCAGCGACAGCTGGGCAGGAGCGCGGGGCCTGCACAGGTGTTCCAGGACCAGCACCAACAGGGCCCAAGGCTGGGCAGCAGGAGCACGGGGTCGAGCTGGCAAAGGTTCTATGGAGCTAGCCCAGCTCCCCCCTTTCCCTGCTGATGCAGCCCAGCCCAGCTCCACTGAGCCTCTATCAGCCCAGGCCCCACACACCTGCCATCCCGCTCTGGGCCCCCACCGGCCCCGCTCATTGCCTGTTCAGGCCCCACTCACTGCCACTTCCCTGCCTGCTTCTGCTTTCACCACTTTCCTGCCTGCCATGGTGCTTCAGCACCACGTGGTTCCCTGCTGCATGCCCAGACAACAGGACTCCAGAGGAGCCGGCCCGGCCCTGAAGACTGGGGCGATCGACGACGGTCCTCCCCTGCTTCCTTTGCCCCCTCCCCACCCTTCGCATTCTTATCAGAGTTTCCTTCTCTGATGGAGGGAAGCTGGAACAGGCCCAGGGTCCCAGGCCAGAAGCCTCTGCTAGGCTTCTGTAAATTTTTTAGGTGCCCCATGGGCCAGACAGAATGGCTGGTGGGCCAGATCTGGCCCACAGGCCATATTTTACCCACCCCTGATTTAACTAAAGGAAGCCATATTAAATCAAGAATTTCTGACCAATTATTAAATAGGATATTCCAATCAGCAAAGTAAATTTTGATTTTCAAGATCTGTGCTTATTTATCGTTGCTGTAATGTGACAAGTTACCTTCTACATACAAAACCTATAAAAACCGTTCTCAGTGAAGCAGCATATGGTCACCTCATCACACTTTTTTTTTTTTTTAACTAACTGACCAAGATCTTGTAACTGGCAAAATGCAAGACTCAGAACTACCCTATAATTTATTTGCATTTTGCAAATGGAAAATGGAAGTGAGGGGAAAGATTTGTTTCTGTCATCTGTGATAAGAATGAGAAAGACTATGAATGGGTTTAAAAACCAGCGACTATGAATGGGTTAAAAAACACTGAAAATGCCACAACCCTAATGCACAAATTAGAAAAATATGACTTGCAATAATTTAGCATTTGGGAAGTAACTTTACTACAGAAGCTTAAAATATAAGCTCTAGGCATCATTTAAATCCTACTTTGTAGGCTTATGTGCAAGACTTAAATAATGTGTGGATCTTGGGTGGTTCCCCTAACTAGTACATGAATTTCATCCTGACAGAGTAAAGCTCCTATCGCATGGAGTCCAAGGTGCCAGCCGCACCTCTGACAACTGACCAGGAAAAGAGAAGTTTAAAATATTTCATTGGTATAAACTATTTGAAAATCTGCCTCTGAAATTTCTAATGATCAGAAAAAATCCATGGGATAACATGCTTTGCAAGATAGTAGACTTGGACCACACAACAGGCCAAGCTAGTCAATAGAAAGGCTGAAGCAGCCGGTCTTCATTTACAGAAGTCAGGGGCATTTTTGATCTACAGAAGGATAGTATTTATTCTAATTAGTTCTCAGCCTTCTGCCAAAAAAAAAATCTGAATCAACAGTGATTTACGGTCAGCAACAGATTTCTTCTAAACTTTCCATCTGATTAAGAGCTCCCCGATAATAATCTCTATTTATCTGGCATTTTTCTTTCGTTTCTATAGGCCTTTTCGCCATTCGTGTGTTAGCCCACCTCTGTATAATGCTCTCTGATGGAAGACAGGAAAGGAGGAGTCCATAAACTTACTTAAAAGGGTCCCCTGCCAAAGAAATTCCTCTCTTGCTATATACAGCAACAGAGGTGGGACTGGCAATCCTTAGGCTTGCAAATGTGTGTGGGCAAGATGAAAGGAGGAGATGTAATTATAAAGCAGGCCCTGTATTCTGCTCTGGAAGATTTTTCTTTAAAAAGAAGGGAAAAAAAGAAGAAATAAAAGCATTGAGTTTGCATTGGACTCCAAGACCTCATCCAGATGAATGTGGTTGTGTGGTATGCAGTACTGCAGATCCATCTGCAACACCACATACTGCACATTCAGGCATTCTCCGTGCTGCTACCTTGCTGCAAGGAGTAGGGGGTTTCACCCGGGGAGATCCCAGGCTCAAAAAACCTGTGTGGAAAAAAAGCAGGGCAGTGCACGTGGCAGCAGTGTGCGCTGCCCAAAACCAGAGTCTGGCTAACTGGAGCCACATGCTGGCTGCCAGCCAGGTTCCCAGCTAAGAGAAGCACCGTAGCTGCAGCTTCCCCAGCCCCCAGGTAAGGCTTCTGGGGCCAGCACTATTGCTGGCCTCAGACTCCCCTACCCCATGCAGGGTAATTTGCTGTGTGCCAGACTGCACATGGCACAGATGTTCCCCAGGGACAAGTAGCAGCGGCACAAGGCAGCAGATTGCAAATGTTTGGTTCCCTGGGGACAAGTAGCAGTGGCACACCTTGTGCTAACCAGCCCAATCAGCTTCTATGGAACAGTAGCCAACAGCTCAACTTCAGTTCATAAAGCTGTAAGTTACATTTTCAAAAGTATTCAAGTGACTTAAGGAACTGATGTCCCATTGACTTAAAGGAGTGGACCAGGTGGCGTGGAAGGGTGCAGAGTAAAAAGGTTTGGCACATCAGGGGAATTAGAAGCAACATGGCGTAACTAATCTGCCACCTGGATAACTAACCTACACAGCTGGCTCTCATTCCCACAGGACACTGCTGCCCAAATCAGCTCCAACTCCTTAGCTCCAATATGCAACTTATACCCAGTACCAATGTCCTTCAGCCCCACTATCGTCTCATCCATTCCTCTCTCCCCAGTTCACCACTCTTTTATTTATGACCATTTTTAACTGTACAAAATATAAATGTATAGAAGTGCAAGAGAGCAGAGAACAGGCATTATAGATTCATATGTACTCACAAACAACAAAGACCAATAAAGAAACACTTGTCAAAAACACAAATCAAAATGAGGCCAAAGGAAAATGAGTATTTTAGTAACGCTCTTTATGACAGGACTCTCTTTTTAAAGCTTCACAATCTAAAGCTACCAGTTGCTAATTGGCGAGAATGAAGGGGATCCCACCCTACACCTGCTCTGGCAGTTTGGTTTAATAGCAGCCCTTTGCTAACTTTGACAATTACTCCTACATTCCCCTGTACGAGACTAATGGTTGGCTAAAAATAAAATGGATATTAGCATTTGCAGTGAAATGTCTGAACAATACAGTAATTGACAGAAGGTGAAATTAAATCAACCTTGCACTGTGTTAATGTCCACATTTTACTTCAAAAGATAGCTTCAAACTGGACAATCGAGGTTCACACTATGGTGAGAACAATGAGATATAATATCATTTTTAAAAATGTCTTCAGCCCAGCATCTTATCATATGGCAGCAAAGCTCATCTCGTAATACAGAACTGCATGATCAAACATGAAAATGAGAATTTCTACAGCAGCTGCTAAAAGCTGAGAAAGAGGCAGATTAAGGCAGAAGGCAAAAAAATACTTACTATAGTTTCATGGCATCTTGGTGAAAACACATGCATTGACTTCAGTATCCAAAAAAGAAACTGTCTGAGCTGAGGGAAAAGCAGAAACCCACCATTAAGAACAATTATAAAGAAAATACACAATAATGTTACCAAAGATGTCAATTGCCATCTTACATTTGGATACTGAAATTTGTGGGGGAGGAGAGGGGCACAGTCTCTCTCCCAAGAGATAAAATCCTGAAAATATTAGGGCTGTGTTACACGTTACACTGAAAGCTGCACAAATATTGATTGGCTTAGTGCTGGCTTGTAATCACACCTTCAACTTAAGGGGCACATCTGTGGGGAGTGGCCATAATTGAATAGAATAGGAGCTTGGTTATATGGATCAAGAGATAATCCTGCCCTGGAGTGGCATAACTTTGAGCTGCATAACAAGTGCTTTAAGCCACTTAAAGGTGTTACATGTGGACAATATGGGGGTTAGAGCTCCAGAAGCAGCCCAAAATTAACGTGCGACAAGGCCCTTAGACGTTTTGAAAGAAGATTAAAAGGTCTAACCTGCAGCAGAAAAAGCCAGTTATACACCACAAATCAGTATTATACACCACAAATCAGTTTTTTAAAAAAATTAATACTTCAACTTGTACTTATATATGCAAAATTTAAGTTGTTTCAGTTAGACCTTAAGGTAAAAAAAGGGTAACATATTGAGATGCAACTATTATCTTTAATTAAAAACTGAACAAAAAGCTGACCCTGGAATAAACAAATATATCCTAAATCAAATACCCGGTTAAAATGTGACCTTGAATTTGTCCAGCAGAGGCAGGAAAGCTTAACTCTGTGCCTCCAATCCATGCGATGGTAGCTCAAATATGTCAAATGGCAGAAACATCTGAAATTCAGTTGCTCTGAGGCTGCCCATCCCATGAGTGATTTCTACTCTATACAGCAAGGTGGTTGAGGACTGAGCAAAGGTACCAAGCACAATGGGACTGGATTTTCTTAACAAAAGACAATAAATCTCTCTATCGTGTTAGGCTTGGTATCTCATCCAGATATGTGGAAATCTGCACATTTTACAAAGAAAAACTACTACCTCAAACCAACATAGAAAAATACATGATCTGCTGTAAAGCAGCAGCAACACAATATTTATACCTAACCCTCACCACACAACCACTAGCAGAATGAGAATGCAGGTAAATCTGTAAGACAGGTATGGATGGCTTAGGAAAGTATTAGGGACTCTAAATGTAAGGAGGAAAGTCAAAGGGCTAAGGAAGGAGAATAAAAGTTTAGAATACACTGAGTGAAAGTCTTGGCTCAAATTAAGTCAACATACTGTTAGCATCAGCTTCAGGGGTCCATGATTTTAATCAAATTTTGCATGTTACTAGTTGCCAAAGATGTATTTTCACATATTTCATTATATTACACTGACAATCCCCGGAACAGGAAAGGTTTCCTTAGAAGGGCAAGGTTTAAGTGCAGAGTCACAAATGAGTAGCAAAGAGTTTGAAAAGAAAAGAAAAGCAAGCACTTTAGTTTCTTGAAATCCATACCAAAATGTACAGTTCCCCACTCCCAACTGAATATTTTTTGCATCTTGAAACTAATTTACATAGAGGATGGTTTTATTCATATTCATAAAACGTGAGCATCATTTCAGATAATGAAAACAAGTATTCAATACTGTAAGCAAAAAAAGAAAAAAGAAACATTCTAGATTTCTAGATGCTGCAGATTAAGTTCTTTCTTCTACATATCACTGTATAGCAGAGACTGAGGCCCTTTCTGTATATGCAGGTAAAGGCACGATTGGATCTAATGCATGATCCACACAATTGTGCCCCCTGCCAGAGATTATGAGATCGTGCATTAAATCCAACCGTGCCTTATTACCAGTGTAGGTGGTGTCCAATCTTGGGCTCCCCCTACATCGGCAAGAAGCAGGCTCCCAAGACTGGGAGCCCCCTTTGCTGAGGGGGCTCCCAGTTGTGAGGGCCACACACAGCTGGGACTGAGAGTCCCATCAAGTGCAGGACTCTTGGTCCTGGCTGCATGTGTGGGCCCAGGGCTTTTACACACCCCTGAGCCTTGGGGATCACAGCAGCCATGATCCTCAGGGCTTAGAAGTTTCATGCTGAGTATAGTGCACCCCTATGCCTCAGGGGTGCACTATACACATTTTAACAGAGCATTTGATTTAGGATTCAGCCGACAGGGCTCCCAACCACAGAGAAGACCCTACTGACATATGCAAATTAAAGTTACAGAGCTCTAAAGTTAGTACACATTTTTGAGATCTAGCTATAACTGGTTGGAGCATTTTATCATGTGATAAGTATTTTGCATGTGTAGCTGGTCTTAAGATAATTGCACAGTTAACCAGTTAATTGTGCGATACCTGTACTGTGTAGAGAGGGCCTCAGATGAGAAAATAATACTGGGTCCTTCTGGCTTTCAGCACTAGTTGAAAAATATGTTCTGAACTTTGGAAAAATAAATACATAAAAATAAAGATTTCTAAAATTATAGTTTTGTTCACTAATTTTCATTCTCCTTTCACCTCCTCAATGCTCACTTCAAATCTGTTTTTGTTTTAAATATTTATACTAGGAAGAATTACATGTAAACAAAAGAGAACAATACATAATTTAGAGACAAGTTAATTATAAGTATGAATATCCTAAAGTTTGATCAATCAAGTGCAAACCTCAAATGAAAGATGAAAGTCTCTTATTAAGAGGATATATAATTGATTTCAATTTCAATCCCACTGAAACCTATTAACGTATTTATTTATACCTCAGTATTTACATTTATGTAAGCACAACCAAATACAATGCATTAATGTCATGTTAATATTCCTTGGCAAAAAAAAAAAAATCTATTGATCAGTTCAGAATGGATTAAAAATAAATTATGTTCCCAGAAATGGAGTTCTTTGAGATGCATTGTCCATATACCCACTCTCACTGTAGGTGTTCATCCGTCTCAAGCACACAGTTGAGAGACTTTTGCCTCAACTATACCGATCAGGCATACTGCAAACCTGCCCCTCTGTATTCTGCACTGAGGGAATAAAGGATCATATGAAGTTCCTGTTCAAGTTCCCTCTCAACCAATGTCCGATACAAGATGCAACTCCAGGGAAGAAAGGGGGGAGAGATGTAGATGGACAAAGCATTCCAGCTACTGATAACTTTTATTTCCCCTTACAACAAATGCCTTGTGTGCGTGACTCTAAAGTAGTACCTGCACACTAGGAGATGGGTTTTTAAGTTCCACAGACTAACAGCAAGTGAAGGACCACTGTAAATGCAACATTGGCCTAGGAGGCTTCTTTGATGGGACACTGCAGTTATGAAAATGTGATGCAAAGATGCTACAAGATTTGCCTGGGCTCTGATGGAATGACTGAGCATGGATGGTGTTCCCTGGCAGACTCAAAACAATTTAATATGAAGCTGGATGGGTTTTGTGCTGTAGATCTCTCAGCTAAGAGAAAGAACAAAACCCTTTTCACATCAAACGAGCGTAAAGATATCTCAGTGGTGCCATACCCATACTGGATGGAGTTATCAGATGCCTTCATTATTTATAAAGCTTAAACCTTGAATAGAAAGTACAAGCCACTGAAAGTACACACCAGACGTAATAAAAAAAAAGGGAAAAAGGCCTTAACTTTACTACCCTAAGGTACAGACAACAAAAGGAAATGACCATCAAGATGATGCTGCATAAATATGTGAGAGGGTACAAGCCCCTGTGAAAGAAATAAAATAATGCTAACGAAATATTGAAAGAAAACAACAGCAGCAACTACTACTACTACTGTATCAGTAATAGAAAGCTTCAGGAAAATTTGGTAACAAGTATGAGTTGACAAGAGACTCTATCTCTAGCCAAAGCAATTCAGAGGAAGTGAGGAACAGAAAGAATGCATTATCCTGTATGGTTTGTTGAACTTGAGGAATAAGAAGAGGCAGGACTATGGTGCATTCCATGTCTATTAAAGCAAAAATTCTCCAATCAAGTGCTTGAGGCACACACATGTATTCAGTGAGGATGTGCGTATGGACAACTACTCAAAGGAAAAAACATCATTAAGGAAACTACAATGGAAAACATGAGCCAAGGGGATATCAAGTAATCAGGATACGAGTTATTTGGAACTAAAATGGTGTGGCAACCAACTTCTATAAGCAACATACTGTGCCTGTGCTTAGAAAACATCAATATTTACATCCTGGTATCTCAATGCTTCATTCTGAATGCTGCAGTAAAAGTCTTGCTTTTAAATTCTTCTTTCAGCCCTTTCCTCTACGTAGAGGAGAAGCCAAAATGAGCAAGGACCTAACTAGCTTAGCTGAAAAACTACTGAGACCAGTGAAGCAAACAGTTGTGTTATATGAAGTGCCATAAAGAACTGAGGGACTATAATGCTAACATTTATGTCTACACAAAAGTCCTCTGCAGAACCTAGGAACATTGCCTGGGGAGGCACTGGTTGGATATACATTTTAAACAATTAACACCCTTTTAGTAAATAAGCAGAATCAATTACAAGGTGCTGCATAAGACCTAATCCCCAATAATCACCAAGATTTCCTCTTCAGGTGCTAAAAAAATTATTAGTTTAGTGAAAATAAAGGTTTCCTATTGATACCTCAAGAGGATATGGAAAACCACTTTTAGATACAAAATTTGTATTAGCACTGTTTGTTTTGTACCTGCTCCTGTCTCATGAAAATATTCATATTGTATCTATTTTGAGCATTATTTTGTGGTTAAAGCTGTCTGAAAGGTGACAGCAAAGAACTTGTCTAGAAAGCAATTTCTTTTTCACAAAAAAATTTTGTTGCTGAAATTATACACAAACCCACATTTTCTTTTCATTAAAAAAAATAAAAACCCAGTGGCCTAAAAAATACAGGTCTATAAAACATGGTTTTATAGACCTGTAGTTCTAAAAAACCTATTAGTGGCTCATAGTAAAATAGCTTATATAATTTTGTACAAGATCAACTGACTAGAAACTATCTATGGATAGATAGTTTAGATAAAAAATTTAGATA